CTTTGTAGCCCAGGCTGGCCTCAAACTCTCAACGATCCTCCTGCCTCAGCCTCCCGAGTGCTGGGATTGCAGGTATGCACCACTGCACCCGGTTGTGCGTTACCATGAAATGATCAGGGATGCCGAGCAGGCCGGGTGCTCAGAGCATTTCCTGTCCTCTCTGAAATCTGCAAGGCTCCACATGCAGAGGGGATGGGGTGTTGGGGACCCGAGATTCAGGCGGGGAATCCGGTTGGGGTGACTCAGGCTTCATGGGGGTGGACGGCTGGATGGTACACAGGGGTTCAGACCTCACAGGAAAACTGTGACTTCTAGGACTGAGAGTGCTGGAGATCCACCCTCCTCCCTCTAATGGTGCAGAGACCCTTGCCTACACCCACCGCCAGCCTCCTGCTCACCTCTCAAGCTGGCTCTCTGGCTACACCAGTCCACGGACTCAGTTCTGCCCAGCTTTGAACCTCCTTTCTATCCCTGAAGTTCAATGTGTAAAGGACTAAAATAAGTTTTTACACTCGGGGGAGTACTATGCAGCCATGAAGAGGGGTAGGCTTGAGTCATGTGTAGGAAAACGGCTGCACCTGGACACCAATATATTCTGTGAAATAAATCAGACCCACAAGCTTAAATATAGCATGGCTCTCCTTGAAAGAGAAACACAAAGTATAGACAAACACGCCTGTAATGTCAGCAACTCAGGAGGCTGAGGCAGGAGGATCATTGGGAGTTTGAGGCCAACCACAGTGAACCCTCCTGAGAAAATCACCCTCCAGGCCTCGAGTGGGGGCCTGGCGTGGACGTCCTCGGGGTCGGGAAACCTGCACAGAGCGGCCCCTTGCGCTTACAGTCGGGAGAGAGGATGGACAGATGCTCACCGGACAGACGTCCCCACCCCATGCCCTGGGAGCTCGGGCACCGTGCGTCCACGTGGTTCAGGTCCCCGAGCTCATGGCTGGCGCCCTGGGCTCTGCCCCGGGCCCCGGCTTCCCCAGGGTGTCTCTTCCTTGCACCTTCTCCTCCGGGGCGATCAGGAGAGCGTGAATGCCAGGCGCCCCCGCCTCCTCCCAGCCGCGCATCTCTGCGTGGCGCCCGCCGCCCACCTCGCCAGCCCTCCCCGTCCCGAGACCCCACGGCCGCCGTTCCCATCCCGGTGCCCGCAGCCCGGAGCCCCGTCACCCCATCGGGGCCGTGAAAATCAACAGTGTTTTCCAGAAAAAGAATGTTTTACCAAGAGGCAGTGAACGTGCTCGCAGGCTCCCGGCATCCCAGTTCCTTGGGAGGGTGACCCCAGGAGGACGGCGCCTGGTGCGCGGCCGTGAGCCCCGGAGGGCCCGCTGTCGGCCGAGTGCCCTGAATCGCCCCGCCCAGGGGATGGTGGTCTGTCCACGGGCGTCGTCCCACTGTGCCACCCCACCGGCAGGGTGGAGGTCAAGCGCTTGGTGTGCAGCAGCCGGGGTCTCACCTCCCGCTTGGAAGAGGTCAGCACTCTGCTCCTTCCCTCCCTTCTGCTCACCCGCTCCTGAATTAAGAAAGCTGAGGCAGGAGGATCCCAAGTTGGAGCCCAGCCCCGGCTGCTTAGCAACTCAGTGAGAACCCGTCACAAATAAAAGAGCTGGGGATGGAGCTCCATGAGGAGCACACGCCTGTCACCCTAGCAGTCAGAGGCTGAGGCAGGAGGTTCCCAAGTTCAAGCCCCGCCCTGGTGACTTAGCAACTCTGCTGTGTGTGGACCTAAGCTTGGAGCTGCTGAACCCCGCGGTGATCCTCTGTTTGTCCACTCTCTGCGCCTGCGCTGGGACCCTTTTCCAGCCCTGTCCTGGCCCAGGTCTGGGCTCAGGTGTGCACACAACTCTGAAGTCACCATCCAGACCACTGCCTCTGTCCCTAGCTCCCCAGGAGACCTTCCTGCCTCTGCCTCCTCCAGGGGCTCCAGGCGGCGTCCACAGGGGACCCAGGAGCAAGGATAGTTCGTCCAGCAACCCGGGGCACAGCAGAGACACAAGCCGCAGCCTCGGGCAGCGGGAGGGAATGTTTCACAAAGCGCACGGCAGCCTCTGCAGATTTTTAGCACAATGGACAATGGACACAAGCAAGCGCAGGAAACAGGCCTTGTGGGTCTGTACAGCTCAGACGGTCGGGTTAGTAAAGGAACTGGAATTCGATGTTGCAGAGTCGGTTTGCAAACCTTTCCGTCCTCACAGGGAGAATTTATGGCAGGGTGGCGTCCAGGCAGCGCAGAACTCCTCGTGTGCAGCGCCCAGGCAGAATCCGTGCAGCATCTGGACGCCGATGCCTGCACGTGTGGAATCTCAGCACGCTGGGAGGCTGAGGCAGGAGGATCCCTGCAAGTCCAAGGGCACCTGGGCTCCAGAGCGCGACCCCGTGTCCGCCCTGCTGGGACGGCCCGGAAGCAAGTGGCAGCCCTGCCGGCTCTGAACCCGCCAAGCCGGGGCACCCGGAGCCGGCGGCCGCTCCGAGCGACAGACCCCGCGGGCGTGGAGCACGGCCGCCACCTGCGGGACCGGCCGGGAACTGCAGCCCACGCCGCGCAGAGCCCAGCAGGGCACCCGCCCTCCCTGAGCCCGCGGAGCCGCGCTGATCTCAGCCCGGTGCTGACCGAGCACCCGCAGCTGACGGCCGCAACGCAGCGCAAGGAGCCTTCGGGTCAGGGCTGAGGTCCGGTTCTGGAGCGATGGGCCCCGGCCCTGGCCCGCGTGGAGCCCCCGGAGGAGGCAGAGGCAGGAGGCTGAGGCAGGAGGATCGCAGTGCCATGTAAAACATGAAAGTAGGACCTGTAGGAGGGACCTAGAGCCCCCAGGCAGCGCTGCCTTGTTATTTTGTCTCTGTTTGGACCTTAAAGCTCGGGGTCGATCCGATCCCAGCGAAGCAACCTGACCCCTTCCTGGAGTCTGGAAGTCAGTTAATTACCCTCAGTGACCTGGCTAGTCTTGCCCCCTTCGGGATACCAGACAAGAGGGGCGGGGTTCCTCTCCTCCGTTCCCCTCACCTCCCTTCCTTCCTCTCTTAATTCTGGGTTTTGAGACAGGGTCTTGCTACAGCCATCAACTTCCCAGGCTGAGCTCCAACTTGGGACCCTCCTGCCTCAGCCTCGGGAGGAGCTGGGTGGCCAGCGCACGCCCCCACACCCAGCCTCCACACTCCAGCAGAAGGCAAAGGCGGGCTTCTCCCCGGGATGGGAACCACGGCTCAAACTCAGGCTGAGACTCCAGGAGGAAGGAAGCTAGCAGCCAGGAGCACCTAGCCCAAGTACCCGGATTCCAGGCACCAGCCGCAGACAGCAGGCTGTTCCCATCCCAGCAAAGAAAGAAAGGTTTTGGGGTAAGAGTGGGGGTGTGGGGATGCCAGGGAGGAGCCGGCACAGAAATCCCAGCGGTGGATTTCTTCCTTGCCTCAGTTTTCCTAAAATGCCTGATCTCCACAGGTCATGCAAAGACAATTTTGGGGTGCGATGCCCGGATTTGGCCCCAAGCCGTGAGTCTTTCCCGTTCAGAGAAGCGTTTTTCGTGTTTTATTTTGAGACAAGGTCTCGCTAGGTGGGCCAGCTGTCCAGGGCAACTCCAACTCTCAGAGATGCCCCCGCCTCAGCCTCCCGAGGGGTGGGGCCTCACACTCAGGCCGCCTGGAGTCCCAGAGCAGCGCAGAAGGCCGAGGAGGCTCTCAGTTCCTCTCCGCACATGCCCGGGGCGGTGGTGCCGAGCGCACAATGGGGCTTTGTTGCCGGGCGCTCGGCGGAGGCAGACAGGAAACCGCAGGACGTCAGACCCGGGAGGCCGTTGGTGTTGCACAACCAGATGTGTGTCTGGCTCGGGGCCCCTGTGTGCCGCTCAGCAAGCCCCCCGGGGTCTGCACAGAGGGATCCCCAGTTCCAGCCTTCAGACCCCAAGATACGGTTGGTGCAGACCTATAATCTCACCACCCCGGGAGGCTGAGGCAGGGGGATCCCCAGGTCCAGCCCAGCCTGGGCACCTGCGTGACTTAGCGAGACCCTGCCTCAAAATTAAACATAAAAAAGGGTCGGGGACGGCGCTTGGTGCTGACACCCCAGGTTCAAGCCCCAGTGCCCCGGTTGGTTAGTGAGAAGGCAGGGGCGCTCGAGGGCAGAGTTTGAGCCGTGGTTTCCGTCCCGGGGAGAAACCCGCCTTTGCCTTCTGCGGAGTGTGGAGGCTGTGTGTGGGGGCGTGCGCTGGCCACCCAGCTCCTCGGGAGGCTGAGGCAGGAGGGTCCCAAGTTGGAGCTCAGCCTGGGAAGTTGATGGACATAGCAAGACCCTGTCTCAAAACCCAGAATTAATATGAACAAGCCGGGCATGGTGGTGCAAGCCTGTAATACCAGCACTCAGGAGGCTGAGGCAGGAGGATCGTTGCAAGTTCGAAACCAGCCTGGGCTACAAAGTGAGCTCAAGGCCAGCCTGAACCGCATAGGGAGACCCTGTCTCAAAAAAAGAAAAAATTAAATTTAAAAAAATACAAAATACAAAATACAAAAGAGCTAGGGAAGGATCCGGGCCCAGTGAGTTTGGGGTCAGAGTCGTGAGTCCCCCGCTTTGCCCGGGACACAGTGGATTCGCGTTCTGACTCTGCTCCGGTGTGCGGTCCAACGTTCTCCTTGCACCCGGTGTGTGCTGTGAACCCTGGGGGGGGGGCAGGGAGCTCCCGACACGGCCGCCCACACCCGCGTGCAAATCGAATCCCCTCCACCAGCCCCGGCTCCGCCTGTGCCGTCTGCACCATCCCCTCCCGTTCCCAGAAGCGGCCCCAGCCCCGGCCACCGCTTTGTACGAATCTGCAGACCAGGCTGCCCCCTCCTCCCCTCCCCAGACTCCCGGCAGCAACCCCCTCGGGTCAGCAAGGTCGTGCTGCACGGTTCAGAAGTCGGGATGGGACGGCTGCAGTGGACACGCCTGTCATCACAGCACTCGGGAGGCTGAGGCAGGAGGATCGCCGTGAGTTCAAGGCCAGCCTGGGCTACAGAGTGAGACCTTGTCTCAAAAAAACATAAAGTAAAATAATTCAGGACGGACACATCCCTTTAGAATTCTGCCCAGGTCACACCCTGTGCAACCACAGGTAGAGGTGGGGACAAAGTTCAAAACAGATGTGACGCACATCTGTAGCCCCAGCCACTCGGGAGGCTGAGGCAGGAGGATCGCAAGTCCAAGGCCGGGGGAGAAGTAGTCACATCCCGTTTTGAAATGAAGACCGAGAAGGGTCGTGTCCCGGGAGCGTGGCAATATTCCCGCCGTTCCTGGCTGCCGGTGAGGCGTCCCGTGCTGGCCGCGGGGCCGGCTCACAACTTCATGTAGGCGCTGTCAGTCATGACAAAGGTGAAGCCGCCGAGGGACACCAGGTTGCCGGCCTGGGGGTCCCGGGGAGGGAGCCTCGGGGACCCCGCGGGGGCCTCTTCCTCCCGCGTGGGTGGGGCGGCCGGCAGCTCTGTGTCTACCCTGGACAGCTGGACCTCCAGGGTCTGCTCAGACGGCTGCTCCTGCTCCCCGCCGGGCGGCTTCCTCCACGGGGCCACGTCCTGGGTGTCGGCGATCCACTCCTGCGGGGACACCCGGGTCAGCGCCCCCGGCTGGGGTGCGCAGGGTCTGCGTGGTGACCGTCCCTTATGGGAGCCTAGGGAGGACAGGAAGCCAGCTCCTCCACACCACCACTTTGACTCACCCACCTGTTTGGGTTTTCTTTTGGCTTTTTGAGACAGGGTCTCGCTATGCAGTTCAGGCTGGCCTTGAGCTCACTTTGTAGCCCAGGCTGGTCTCAAACTCACAGCGATCCTCCTGCCTCAGCCTCCCAAGTGCTGGGATGACAGGTGTGCACAACCACACCCGCTGGCCAGCCTACTCTTGGGATGAAGCTAAGAATCCAAAGAGCGGGAAGCCTCCGTCCCTCCCGGATGAACTCGGGCCAGTATTTCTCTTTGCAAACCCGGCACCCGCTGAGCTCACCCCGGCCTCTCCCCTCCCCCCGCTGTCCCCTCCCCCCCCAATAAAAACGAAACTGTGTCCAAAAGCCCAGAGCCCATGGATGGGACCGATTTGTGCACAGGTCTGTGGAGAGGAAGTGGGTGGAGGATGCGGGGCGGGGGGCGCGGGGCTCAGAGGAGAGGGGCATGGCGAGGTGGGCACCTGGAGGTTGCCCTGGTGGTGCTCGAAGAGCCCGGAGAAGCTGCCCCTGGGGTCCGGCACGCTGGGCATCAGCAGCCTCTTCACCCTGAAATGAACACAGTGAGAGAGCCACGCACGCCGGGCCCACGCCTGTCATCCCCACACTCGGGAGGCTGAGGCAGGAGGATCTCCAGCGTAACTCCCGCCTGGGCTATGTAGAGACTTAGCGGAACCCTGGCTCAAGTATAAATGAAAAAGGGCCAGGGTGGTGGGTCCATGCCAAGGCCCTGGCTTTGACCCCCAGGGCCGCAAAATGCTTACGGCGGCCCCAGCTAAGGAACATGGTGGATTATCCATTCCTATGCTCTCCACCCAAGGGGGGAGGGCAGTTTCATTCCGGGAGGGGGGAGCGGGTAAACCTGATTTATTCTGCATTTGCTTCCACCCTAATCCGCAGGCCTGGATACATTGTATCACATGGGCTTGGGTACATTGTAACCTTTAATTTGTAATGAAATGCATAAGCTTAGATGTATTTTATTCTGCTACTTTATTTCCGTCAAGGGTATAGAGTTAGATACCTTTTATTTGTTATTTGTATTTCCAGACAGGGTCTTGCTATGTGGCCCACACTGGCCTTGAGCCTGAAGCAATCTTCCTGCCTCAGCCTCCTGAGCTGCTGGCATGACAGGCATGCACCACCACACCCGGCATACCAGTCTCTTACTGCAGGGCCGCACTCTGAGACCTTGTACGAGTTCATTCTCTATCTCTACAGACACCGTCAAGGGCCTATGCCCTGAGCTGCGCTCTGTAGTCCCAGCTACTTGGAGGCTGAGGCAGGAGGATGGAGGATCAGTGAGATGTAATTTTCACACAAGGAATGCAGGGGTCTGGCACAGGGAGGCCTAGCAGGCGAGGCTCTGCTTCCGCTGCCCGCACGCAAATGAAACAGAGAAACACGAAGTGCATAGTGCAGCAACATACACCAACCGCAGCACCACCAAGGATTAGCGCGGAGCACGCCGTACACTTGTCTGTGTGCTTTCACATAGCTGCGGTCACTTACCGCGGGGTTCCGCACACGCGTGTGGAGTCCGTGTGGAATTAGGAACCCTACAGACTCAAGGGGCAGCTAGAGTTGCCCAGCTGCAGTATAACCCCATCAGGTTGTGTATGGGGATGGTTCTTGAGCGACACTTTGTGGTACGACACACAACTATATTCAAAGCTGTGGACAGAAGGTGACACACGGATCACCCTAAGTCTTTGGGCTTTGTGTCCCGAGGGGACTGTGGGCTTCCTCAAAGGTTTTGTCTCCATCTATTGAGAAAGCAACTGAATCTGGGAATCAGACTGTATGTTCATCAGGAGAGGAATGGTAAAATAAACGTGGTGTTTATACACAGTGGACTATTATGCAGCCAGGAAGAAGGATAGGCTTTAGTCACAGGTAGGAAAATGGGTGCACCTGGAGATCGTGCTGTTGTGTGCAATAAATCAGACCCACGAGCTCCAGTATTGGGTGGTTTCTGTTCTATGACAAGCCCAAATAAATACAGCACAAGACAAAAGATACAGGACAGGAAGTAGGGTGACCAGATATGAGGGCGAGGGGAGGGGTGGACACGGAACGAGGCTGTGTTCTGTGTGAGCCCCGACCCCCCAGGAGGAATGGGTCATCAGATCCCGCAAGTATGAACTCATAACAGTGACACCTAAAGAAAACCACGCTTGTTCCGCCCTGTGCCCAAATTCCTGGCCTGAGCCCTCAGCAAACCGGGGTTCGCCGTGACTCTGTGCCAGGCGGGGAAATGACAGCGGGACGGTGACTGTTGTCCGCACTCTTGTTGCCAACCTGGCATGGGGGAGTTTCAAGGCCGCCCGCCTGCAGGGTTCTCACCTCTGTGCTTTCCACAGGGCGACCAGCAGCAGGGCCACCGTCAGCAGCGACACCAGGCTGCAGACCAGGAAGAACCGCGTCCACCTGGGCCAGAGGCCCACAAGCGGCTGCACACAGGAATCTGGGCCAGAGAAGGGGTGCTGTGGGCTCCCGTGCCGCAGCCTCCTCCTGCCAGGGCTTGATATTATGCATCTGTCCATCCAGCATGCACCAATGCATCCATCCATCCACCCTCCCAATCACCCATCCATCCACCCATCCAC